TATCCCGAACAGTACCTCGACTGGGGAAAACCCTGTAACGGAGTGGATCGAATGGTTGTAGGTCGCTACCGCCCTCTGCATTGCTACGTCCGCTTCTAAACCCTGCTCCCCCTGGTATATACGTAAGTGATCGCTTAGGGTGCTATGCAACCTCTCAATACCTCCCCTGCCCTTCGGATGTCCCGGCGTATTGAAGTGCCAAACTATATCCAAGCGCTTCGCTTCTTCTCGGATGATACTGCTGTCGAACTCCCTGCCTCCGTCGGATGTTATGCGATCTGGCACTCCGTAGAACTGAGCCCACGTTTGGAGAGCTCCCACGACAGCCTCCGACGACCTATCCTGTACCCGATGTACCATCGCCATTTTACTAAAGAGGTCTATCATTGTGACCCATTTAAAGCCCCTCCATGTAAATGTGTCAATTTGCACCTCTTTCAACGGCATATCTCCTGTAGGGGTTTCCTCTTGTAATCCTTGAGGCGGTCGTCTATCATACTTAGTGCGCGCGCAAACCTCGCACATCCCAATGACTTCCGAGATCGTTTTCCGCATGTCATCCCAGAAATATCTCCTGCGCAGTGCCTGGAATGTTTCCTGTACCCCCCGATGATTCGTCTTGCCTTGATGATGTGCCAGTGTTACCTCCTTCTGCTGTTCTCTATCCGTTAATGTTTCGACTAAATATCTACAGCGAATAAAAGACCTGTCCAAGCCCAGTTTTTCTGTTCTCCAGATCTTCTTGATTTTCTCCCATATTGTCGCATTCCCCACGTACAGATAGTGAACTTTTCCCGGCTCCGAAGCGTCATGCAAGGCCCTGCAAATCTGTTCTTCCTTCGCCCCTGGTTGGGACCAAATGGTGGTAACCTTCCTCTTCCCATATTTACTAAAATCCATCTTCATAAGCCCCGATGTTCTGGTCTTCCAAATCACCTGTCGGCGCTTATCATTGATCATCTCGTCACACTCTTCCATGTCTGTGGGCCTCTCGTCCACTGAGCTTTCTTCTCCTCTTGATTCCCCTGTTCCCGCGTTCTCGGGTTCCCCTTCGCCTTCCGGTGTCCACGCTCTCAGAAACTGCCGGACGTCCCGCGATGACTCTCCTTCTTCCTCCTCGATGGCATTTATCATTATTGCTCTGGACAGCCAGTCTGCTACCACATTCTCCTTGCCTGGTTTATACCTGACTTCCATATTATATTGGCTTAAGAACTGCTTCCATCGAGTGACTCTCGCCGATGATTCCTTCAGGTTGCCTACCCATTGCAATGGTTTGTGGTCGGTATGCACCTTAAACTTCCGGCCAAAAATATACGGTCTAAAATGCCCGACCGCCCATACTATGCCCAGGAGTTCCCTTTCCAGAGCGCTATACCTCGTTTCCGCTTCCGTGAGTCGCCGACTCGCATACGCTACCGGTTGTTCTCCGTCAGTTCCTTCCTGCGCAAGTACTGCCCCTAACGCATACTCACTTGCATCAGTGGTGATAATAAACACCTTGTTAAAATCGGGAAACGCAAGTACCGGCTTTTCCTGTAACCTCGCCATGCACTTCCTCACGTTGTTTTCTATTGCTGGTGTTATTACGATCTTCCGGCCTTTCTTTAGAAGATTATTGAGAGGTGCTAAATATTCCGCCATTTCCGGAACAAACCGACGATAATAGTTCAACGTTCCCAATAATCTCCGGATCCCCTTGACATCTCTGGGCATCACCATGTTTTGTATCGCCTCTACCTTCTGCTTATCAGGCTTGATCCCTTCTCTCGAAATTGAGTGTCCCAAAAAATTGATCTCATCCTGCCCCAGAGTCGACTTTTCAGCAGACAATTTCAATCCCAACTGCTTCACTCTGTCGAATACGCGGCGCAAATGACCAATATGTTCCGTTTCATCTTTACTGAAGACCAGGAGATCATCCATATATACCTGGCAGAATGCTTCATCCAGTCCCCTCAAAAATTCGTCCATAAACCTCTGGAAGGTTATAAGAGCGTTCTTCAACCCGAACGGCATGCGAGTAAACTCCCTCCCCCCTTTCAAATGAAAAAGCTGTCTTTTGTTGGTCCCTGGGGTGCATACGTATCTGATGATAACCTGCCTTTAAATCGAGAGTGCTGAAGATGGTGGCTCCGCTCAGTCTGTCAATGATGTCCTCAAATCGTGGGAGCGGGTATTTCTCGTCTAAGGTATTGTCGTTGAGCTTTCTGAAGTCTACCACTACCCTATACTTCTCCTCCCCTGTCGTGGTCTTCTTCTTCACTGCCCATAGGGGACTGTTGTACGGTGACGTGCTATCCACGATTATGCCTTGCTTTTTCAAGCTCTCTATCTCTTCCTTGATGTGTCGCCGTAGCGCTTGCGGATAACGTCGTTCCTTAACATATGTCACTTTTTCCTGTTTTAAAGGAATTTCATGGACCGTCTTCCCTGTTGCAGTCAACACTTCCCCGTCTTTAAAAAAAATATCTGCGTACTCCCTCTTTATCCTCTGTACCCAATGTTCCGCTTGTTCTATTGCCCCGACATTCCCTGTCCCGTTCACCCTCGATCGCTTACACCGATACTTCTTCCCTCCCATTCGAACAACCCAACCCGTACTCCTGTAATCTATCCTCGGCCTTACCTTACTTAATAAGTCACAACCTATTATGCCTCCGTACTCTCTCGGCATGTTCTCCACCACGTGAACCCTCAATTTCCCGATTCCGGCCACCCATCGGTCCAGGTCTAATTCTACCTCCCCCTCAACTCTACAAGGACCACCCAAAGTAATCAACTTACACTTACAATTCTTTATTTCTGGTATCCTCTCTCCTTTACACAATTCCTCCAGCATCTTTTTACATAATATTGTACTAGAGCTCCCCGTATCTACCAAACACTTCCCCCTCCCCACAACACTTATAATTGGCAAACCCACGCACTCACCTCCAATATTATTTACTACCGCGTGGTTGCTGCTCCACTGCTCCTCTCCTCATTCATCCGTTCTTCCTCTCTTTCCTGCACTTGCCCCTCTCACTCCGCTCCTTCTACTGATGCTGCCTCCTCGAGCTCCTCTTACCACCGTTCCCTCTTCTTCGGTTCCGGATGCTCCTGATGACTCGTCTGACTCCGATGTCGATCCTCTCTTCTTCCACAATCTTTGTGCGTTCACCTCCATCGGCTCATCTCGTCCCGTGTCTCCCCGTCTACTCATATATGGGCACTGTCTGGCGATGTGCCCTTCGTTTCCGCATTCGAAGCATCGAGTTCGCGGACAATTTGCTACGAGGTGACCTATCTTCCCGCACCCGTGGCATTTCCTGTCATCCTTTGTCCATTTCCTTCTCTCTCTGACTGGTCTTTTCTCTCTCACCGCCGTCCTCTCCCTCATGCCAAACTCTCCTCTTTTTCTCCACCCCTCCGTTCTCCCTCTGACCCTTCCAGTTTCTGGTCGCCTGTACACCACTCGATTCCACCCATTCTCATTCTCTTCGTCACCCCGAGCTGCTTCTTCATCCCGGGCGCTTGCGTCGATCATATCCTGGGCACATTCTACAAAATTCTTCTCCCTGGGTAACCCATCCTTTTTACCTGTATCTCGGGCCAGCTGCACTTTAAGTATTGTCGACAGGAACGCCATCCTGGCTCCTGTTTCGACCGCATCTGCTACTTCTCTCGTCTTCTCGGTTACACTGTTGAACCGTGCCAACAAATTCGCTGCGTATTGTCCATTCGTCTGGTGAGGCTGTTTCCTTTCTCGAAACATCTGCAGGATGTCTTTCTCGGGAGCCCACCGACCTCCTCCGAACGCCTTCTTCAGCCTATCCTTCACCGTGTTCCATGGGGTGTCCTCATCCGCCTGGATCATGTTTAACACACTTCTCTTAACTCGGCACACCAAAGCCGCCCTCAACGCGTTCCCATCCATCGAATCTATCAAATTCTCCCCTTCTTTGGCCAGAATTCGCGATATCACCCGATCACCTCCCTTTAGAAAATGGTTTAACTCACCCACTCCTCCGTCAAACCTTTCCAAATCGGATATCGCCCTCCTGAGATCCTGAGACGTCGCCGTTCTCACCTTCAGCCATTCCAAGGTCGTCGCATGTGCTGACGCTAACGTTTCAGTGGGTAGCGGAGGAAAATCCCTTGCCAACGCTTCTGCCAGTGAAGGAAACGCCGGCGGTGGAGCCAATGGTGCTGCCGGTGGCGGTGGCGCGATCGTCTGTGCCACCTGTGGTGTAGTTGGTACTGGCGGTTGTCCTGTTCCGTTCGGCATCCTTTCTTCTGATTACTCCTCGTGAGAAAAAATAAAAAAAAGAAAAAGAAAATTTTACTGAATCTAAAGATCCCGGGTTTCGGCACCACTTACGATCGTCTGAACAGGAAAGAATAAAAAAAAGAAAGAAAGGATAGCAAATAACACACTCGGTTGCTCGGTAAAGACTGACTTTATTCTCTCCGTAATGCTATATATATAGCATTACGGTTTGTTTATACTTTACAGATAGGATTAAATATTATATTATCTTACATCTAACCATAACTTATATATATATATGTATATATATATATATATATATATATATATATATATATATATATATATATATATATATATATACATATATATATATATGTGAACAAGTATATTAGAATAAGTAGGATAGATAAATAAATTAACTCTCACCATTCTCATTCAATATTTTACTAATACTTGTTCACAATTTATTCACTTTTCTATAAAGTGATTCCTAATTTTCAATAATTGTAAGTTGTTTAATTTAATTTGATATTTAGTTTAATTTGATAATTGTCAATATAGTTTTTAAATTTGGTAAATTAATGAAAAACACCTTAATGATTTAATTACGCATCTGAACTATTTACCGACTATATATATATATGTATATATAAAGTATATTTAAAAAACAACAAATTTGTTTACCCACATTGCATTTGATAAATAAAATAAATTAGAGTTTGAGTATTTTGCCTTATGAACTTACCACGTATCTTCTTATGGCCAAAATAAGTTTTTTTCTTACGATGAGTTTTGGATCCCAATTCTCAGCGACTGCTTTGTATGGTAGCTTCCTCGCCCAGTTGTATCGTGGTCCTAGGTCTTTAATTGTTCTCATCGGGAAAGTCTGGTTATGTATTATTCGGCCTATCATCTATTCGAAATACAAATTTAGATAATTTTTAAAAGACAAAATTAAAATATAACTAATGAATAATAATTAATGTAATGAAGTAATCGAATCAGAATTTTCAATTCATTTTATCTGAATATTATTTGTCATATAGTTTTCATTTTTATGAATTCTCAATACATTCAAATTAATGATTTCAAACTTTGCCGAAAGATGTTAATACTGAGAGATAGTGGAATTGTCCAGCAGTGATAACTCTCTTTCACATTTATCAGTTCACCGATCTAGCACTGGTAATGCCACATTTCACGAGCAGAATTTTTAAATACTACCAATTGGTAGCACTCCAATTATAGTTCTATATTAGAAGGTCCCGAAGCCATCTTCTTCTCAGGCTCCTCGGATTGTCAGATATCGAAGACGATGTAAGGTTAGAAACAAGTGGGTTTCGATGGGCCTGAATTTTATCATGAAAGGATATTTATCTTTGTTCGGCTAAGCCGGTAACATATGGAACATTAAGGTCGTTATGGACAATTTTATTTTTGACAAAGTAGGGAGCGTTCAAGATTTTGATTGTAAGGATTGGTTACGAGAGGGTGGTTTGAGGAGCCTCAAAGCTCAACTTCATAAGTCCAATAGGCCTTATATAGTCAAGTAAATAAGTTTTTTTATAGTTTAATGGAAGTTTAGAACGTATGTCTAATAAGTGTTGTAGTAGCCGAAAACGTCTAGTAGTTTCTTGTCATTTTAGTTTCGTATGAGGATTTCATATAAGATGTTTGACCAGGTAGTAGCGTCCATAGTAGCGGATCTGTTTAGCAGAGATATGTGGAGTATTATTGAAGGATATTAATCCTTAATCCTTAATATGACAGAAAGTCATAGGTTAATGACGAATGGTAAAGGTGATTTAACGAGATTTTTCGGAATTTATTTTTACCCTCCAATTTTTACACCATTCTTCAATGTTTGTAATATGTGACTAAAGGGTTCGGGAAGCAATAAATAGGTCATTACTAACTGAGAACACCCATGTATCAGCAGTATAAGTGGAAATGATGATGTTAGGATGAGTTGGAATGTCAGCTGTATTAACTGTATAAATACTGGGACCGGGGATACAAGCGTGACCTTGAGGAACAAGCGAACTGAGAACTAATACCTACTTCGTTGTGGTTTACCATAAATGAGCTGTCTAAAAGATAAGAACAGATAATGAGAATGTAAGACGAATTTTGTAAAACAGTCATGGGTGCCTCAAATTAAAGGTGTAAAATGCGATGATAAAGCCAGTTATAATATATGGCTGTGAGACCTGGACACTAACCAAAGCTCTAGAAAAAAGAATTGAAATATTTCAGAGAAAAATCCTTCGCACGATAAAGTGGCAATAAAGACCAAAAAAGAGGCACCGAGGTCAATATGGCCGGGTATGTAGCTCGGAGCAATCTATCTGGAAACCTCTACATGACAATGAATGCCTCAATAGTTTTTTTTTTTTTTTTTTTTTTTAAATTTCTTTATTGAGTATTATAACAATCTGTCTGTTGGACATTGGTTATAGTGAGGTAGGATGACATTCACACCATATGTACAAAAAAATAAAATAAATAGAACAAAATAATAATCAAAAGTATATACAATAGACAATAAAATAAAATGACCTAAAAAATAAGAAAATTAAAACTAAGTAAAAAAAAAAAAAAACACATGCATACCTATATACAATCAGGCGAGGGAACTCCAGGAGAACCCTGCGCTACTCTCCAACCGCGTCACTGGTACTAAAGCCAGCGGAGATTGGTCGAGAGCACTTTAGCCACATACACACATGTCTTGAGTGAAGAATCTGGCCATTGCCAGAACTCCAATTTATATAATCTACAAAAGGTCGCGAGGCCACTGCCGTTTCAACCTTCTTGGAGGATTATAGGGATGGGAGATGCTTGATAGGGATTGTGCAAGAGGATTTGGGTGGTAAGTAAGGTTCTGGTGAAATTTGGAGAATTTTTCTGGGATAAGGTCTAGGACAAATGGGATGTTAAGGTCATGATGTAGGGTTTTGTTGGATACATAGAAAGGAGCATCGACTATTGTTCGAAGGACTTTAGACTGGAAGGATTGGATGCGCTTGATGTTAGAAAATTTTGCTGATCCCCACAGTTCTAGTCCGTAAGTCCAAATAGGTTTCAGTATTGTCTTGTAGATCAGTAGCTTGTTTTCAATGGAAAGTTTAGATTTTCTGCTTAGTAGTCGGTATAGTTGGCCGTATCGTCGGTTGAGTTCTTGTCTTTTGAGTCTAGTATGCGGGTTCCAAGTTAGTCTTCGGTCTAAATGAAAGCCAAGATACCGGACTGTGTCTGAATAAGGAAGCTGGATGGAATTAAAGAGTACTGGTGGACAGGAATTGCGTCGGAGTGTAAAGGTAATATGTTGGCATTTAGATTCATTAACTTTAATGCGCCAGTTATTACACCAGTGCTCAATCAAGGTGAGGTGACTTTGGAGATTTAAGGATGCTATTTCGGGATCAGAGTTGGATGATAAGATTGCGGTGTCGTCAGCGAATGTTGCAAGAAAAGTATCGGGATGAACAGGGATGTCAGCAGTAAAGAGGATGTAAAGCACGGGACCCAAGACGCTGCCTTGGGGAACACCGGCTTTAACGGAGTAGATATTGGAAAATTCTGTTCCACAGCGAACTCGAAAGGAGCGGTCAGAGAGGTAGGATCGGAGGACTAGGTACAAGGACTGAGGTAAATGGATTTTAAGCTTGGAGAGCAGTCCGGAGTGCCATACCCGGTCAAATGCCTGTGCAATGTCCAGAAAGGCACCCGAACAGTATTCCTTGTTTTCTAGGGCTGAGGAAATATGATCAACAACTCGGAGTCCTTGTTGAACAGTAGAATGTTGAGAGCGAAAACCAAACTGATGGGAAGGGATATTTTGGGATTCTATAATGGGTAGGATTCGTTTCAAAAGGATCTTTTCAAAAATTTTTGAAAGGATTGGGAGTAGGCTGATTGGTCTATAGGATGTTGAGCTATTGAGAGGTTTTCCTGGTTTTGGGAAAAGGATAATAGTGGAGTGTTTCCATAACAGAGGGAAGTGGGTGGTGCGTAGGATACAATTGTAGATATATGTAAGGAATATGACTGCTTTGGATGGAAGTTGTCGAAGGATTTGAGGTGTAAGGAGATCATGTCCAGGAGCTTTACGGGGATTAGTTTTTTTAATTGAAATTTTACTTCGGAAGGATGAATAGCTTTTGGGGGCAAGGAAAGTGGGATTGGTGATGTAAGGAGTTCTTCTACTGTTACGGTGTGGGCAGGATGGGATTCCGGATGTGAAATAAATGTATTGGATAGGTGAATGGCGAACTCCTCAGCTTTATCTTCGTCAGATGCTGCCCAGGAGCCATCACCTCGTCGGAGAGGATGGGAAATGCGGTGAGGATTTAGGATTTTTGTTGTGGTTTTCCAAAGGGAATTGTCGCGAGAAGAGAGGGAGGATAGGTAGGAGTTGAAGGATTGTGATCTGAAGGTGGCTAATTCCAGTTTTAATTTTACCTCAATAGTAGATATAAGACCATGTGGGAGGTCAAAATAGATATGGATAGAGCGAATCAAAAAAAAAAATGCAATAGAGCTGCCTGTCTAAATAAAAGAAGATTTCATTAGAAAAGATTTGTAATCAAATGTAATTCTTATTTGAATTTAAGCCAAAATTTGGCTTGTGCAATTACCTTCTACTGCCACAGTAGATTTTTCGGAATTCGTACTAACCATTAAGTCCTCATAAAATAGTTATATCGGAGCTCGTTTTTTATCGTTCTGTCAATCTGTGATTCAAGATTTTAATTTCTTTAAAAAAAAAAATGAGAAACTAAACATACAATGAGATTTGACTGAACTATGTATAGAAATTACCGCTTTATACCGTTTTCTAATATTTCTTAAAGAACATATAATATTGATGATACAAATTCAAAACGTTTGTTGATTTCAATATCATTTATTTTCCGACAAACAAAAGATTAAGATTGTTCAAAATCGATAAAGATTTAAAAACGATTCCATTAAGATATAAATATAATGAAAACGGATCAGGAATGGCTCTTAACAAATTTGTATGATTAAAAATAAAAATAAAACATACACATTTCAGATTCACCATGCAAGTCCCCAGCTGATTGATACATGCTACTTTTAGAGCTCTGAAGGCAGCACGCTTGGTCATTTGGATCAGCCACGTGTGAGCGATTTTTTTCTGTAATAATAAGAAATGTTGTTAATAACGAATTAATAACTAAAGCCAAGAGAGAGAAAGAGAGAATCACTTTATTATCATAAAATAAAAGTAATAGTAATATTATTTTTGAAAGAAAATTCATTAAAATACTTAGTGATGGCGAAAGGAATTTGTTAATTGCATATCTGTTTTGTCTAAAATATGTTAATAGGCATAACTTTTATTTTGATGTAAACATGTAAGTTACATTAAAGTAATTCAAATCTATCTATGAAATATAAAAATAATGATAAATTTATTGCTCAAAAGTACAAGACTCAAACAGCAAGGATTTGACGTAAATTATCAATTTGAACTTATTTATAAAAAAAAAAAAATCCTTATTGTTAAAAAACATACATTTTCAACAATTTTTATATTTTTATGAATAGAAGATAACATGGAGTTTCGTAAAAAGCCTACAAAAATATTATATAATTATCAATACATTAATCTTCAAAAGTGTATATCTTAAAAAACTAATTTGGACTGTTGTGTAAAAAATAATATTGAAAAACCCATACGCACAACATAATTTATTTATAAAAATATAACTACTTCAGAAAATAAATATAAACTTATATTTACAATGGAACGAAGAGATAAAAATGGATAGGTAGTTAAAGATTGTGTAGGTAAATATATAAAAGTTAGCAATAAATACAGAAAAAAAATAAAACATATCTGAATGCGGAAGACTGATTAAAAAAAAAGAAAAAGTACTAATTTAGGAACAGTTAAAGTTAAAGAAGATGAATTGCAAATTGAAAATTATAAAAGAATATTCATTCCTCGATAAATTTATAAAAGCATATAAATATGAAGAGAACACTTACTCCTAGGTACCCAGCAAGTAGTCTTCCTCGAAGACCAGAAGAGTGAACCGGCATTCCAGTTCCTGAAAATAAAATTACTGATTGCATTAAAATTGTAAATGCATATCTATTTAATTTCATGTTCATACATAAATATATATGCATATGCCTACATATATATGTGTGTATGTGGTGGGAGAAAATGGCTACAATTTAGAGTTTCACTCTCATGGAAAGTATCCAAAAACCTTTGGTGGTTTTGAGAACTGGAATGTGGGGGTTTTAAATGGAGAAGATTAGTATAATCAATTTGGTGTTAACTCAGAAATGAGTTGCCAGCAGACAACATGAGTATATGTTAATATATTGCCATTTGATGTATGGTTTGTCTACTGTTAAGAGATTTTTATTTATAACCTAATTATGTGCATTTTCTTTCCTTATTTCTAACAGCATAAGATAATTATTTAAATTTGGATTATAGATGCCTGTTTCATGCATAAGATAAGGAGACACGGCCAAGTTTGTCTGAGTAATTGAATAACGTTCAAATTTTAAGTATGATGGTAAAACAAAATTATTTAAGTCAAGCAAAATAAACACAGAGATTATTCATGAATTTTTACTAGCAAGGTTTTTATTTATTTTTTAACGAAATAGTACGTTTTAGACTGTTTAGAAATAATTACAGTATTTCAGCAGGAAGTATATTTTTACTTCATTAATCCAGTGGTGTATATTGATATTGAATTTATCCTCAAACAGAGTTAGATAAGGTAGCATATTGTTGCCTGAGGTAAAAAGAGTCTATACAAATGTTCGAGTCATATACAAAAAAACGTTTGTATTTTCTCTTTCTGTACTGACTGTCTAGACTTGATCGAGGTATCTGCTTCTTTGTGGACTTGCTGCTCCTCATTTCAGTCTTTCGTATAATTTATGAGAGCTCATAGAAAATCTACTCTATATCGCTGTGAAGGGACTGGAGTGGCAGCTACGAGCATCACCACTTCTGCGCATGCGCTTGATTTGAATACCCACATTTCACGTCGTGTCCCACAGTTTTACTATTTTTTAGTAGAATAAGTGCTCAGTTTTACTTTTTTTAAAAAAAACTAGTTAAGCAGACATCAAAACAACAACAATGGACTAACACCACAGTGAGTAGTGTTGTTATTTACTGTGTACTATTACAGACAGTGAATTTAGTGATTTAGCGTCTATAGGCTTAATCTCTATAGCCATAACAGCTGACGGCTCCCCTCTCCAGTTGTGGCCCTGCCACGTAACTGGCTGGTTCTCAGCCGGTGGTTCATCCATTGTAATAACACGCAGACGTAGTTTTATTTATTTATTTTTTTTTTCCCTTTCTTTTTTTTTTATATGCGATATTATCACCAAGTAATGTCAACTAAGAGGTCCCATTCAGTTGGCTCTACCCCACGTAATTCACCGCCTAAACAGAAAACACGTCGTAGTAAGCGATTAACACCCCCCGGAACTCCTCCAGCGAACACTCAAGAATCTGTGTCTCAACCACTGCCAAGTACGTCTTCACAAGAAATGGAATCTCCATTTTTTACACCTAATCCATACCAGGTGCTTGAAAATGACAGGGAAGAAATGGAAGATGCACCTATACCTCGAGAACCACGCCCACCTCCTATCTTTGTCAAAAATTTGAGAAATTTCCAGTTGTTGTGTACTCAACTTAATAAAATCTGCCCAGGTAGCTATACATGCCTAAACAGAATAAACGATACAAAAATAATACCGGCCACACCTGAAGCGTACCGAAAAATCGTAAAATATTTAACAGACACAAATGCGGACTTTCACACATACCAGTTGAAACAGGAAAGAGCACTACGAGTTGTAATAAGAAATTTACACTCCTCAACCCCAATAGAAGTGATTAAAGAAGAGTTAACGGCGTTAGGGTTCAAAATACGTCAGATAACCAATGTTTTAAAAGAAAATAAAGAACAACCAGGTGTAAAGAATAAAATCCCATTGCCCTTATTTTTCGTCGATCTAGAGCCATCGCCTGGGATCGAAAAAATATACGATGTGAATAGAATTTTCTACACCAGCGTAAAGGTCGAAAAACCGTACCCAAAAAGAGAGTTCATCCAGTGCCATAATTGCCAAGCATATGGCCACACCAAGTCTTATTGCCACCACTTACCACGCTGCGTGAAATGTGGTAAAACACACAAGTCTGGCGAGTGTAATAAACCAATTACAGAACCAGCAGTCTGTGCCCTATGCCTGGAAGGCCATCCAGCCAACTACAAAGGCTGCCAAATTTATAAAAATCTTAAAGCGAGATATATGAAACCCAGGGACCCTGATGATACACCTAAACCAAGAAGAGGACCCGCTAAAATTGTGAACTCTAAGGTTTCTTTTGCCAAGCTACTTGGGGGTAGAGACCCGACTAATGTATGTGAGGCCCTGCCGCAAGAACAAACTCAACCCCAATCTCAATATCCTATCCCACCTAATGTACCTAATCAACAACAACCTCACCAACATCAAATCCAATATGTTCCTCCACCGCCTAATGCTACAGATCTAACCAGCTTATTGACATCCTTTCTTTCAGAATTTAAATCCCTTGTTACCCCACTGATATCACTTCTCACTAACCTAGTATCTCACCTTATCCCTCCTTTAAAAAATCCTTAAATGACTTCCATCAAACCCATATCCATTCTCCTTTGGAATGCGAATGGTGTTAGAAATCACATACACGAACTAACAGCCTTACTACAAGACAAGAACGTAGACGTAGCCCTAATAACGGAAACTCGACTGACTAAAAAACAGCTCCTAAAAATACCACAATACATAACTTACCGTACCGACCATCCTGACGGTAGAGCACATGCCGGTACTGCAGTCATTGTGCACCAATCCCTCTCCCATCACCTACTCCCACTGCCTACACACGATTTCCTACAATCCACCGCAGTCGTAATCAAAACCTTCTCCTTTCCTATTACCGTTGCATCAGCGTATTGCCCTCCAAACCAATCCATCTCCAATATCCAATTTAGTTCCTTCCTCATTTCCTTAGGACATCATTTCATCTTGGGTGCAGACTTAAACGCCAAGCATCAACAATGGGGTTCAAGAACCACGAATTCTCGTGGTCGAACATTGCTGTCTGTACTCAATTCCCAAAATTTTACCCTTCTTCCACCCAACTCACCTACCTACTGGCCCACTGATCCTAACCGTAATCCCGATATCCTCGATTTCTTTATCCATAATGGTTTAGGTGCTCTCAACCATTCCGTTGCCCGTCTTGACGAGCTTTCCTCAGACCACAGCCCATTAATACTCCAAGTATCACTAGCTCCTATTCCTAAACCCTCTCCTCCGTCCTTCATCAGAGGCCCAGTTAACTGGAAACTCTTTCATCAAATCCTCTCCGATAAAATTGACCTCAGAGTAACCCTGAAAACCTCTGAAGACCTGGACAATGCAGTACATTCCTTCACTACCAAAATTCAAGAAGCAGTCTGGACTGCTTCCTCCCCTGATCACTCCTCAAAAATCCTTAAGAAACATAATTTACCTCAACACCTCCTTGACCTAATCCACATAAAACGCCGTGCCAGATTATTATGGCAACGTACCAGACATCCAGCCGACCGCCACTCCTACAATTATCACTGTAAAAAATTAAAAAAAGAATTAGCCACCTTCAGATCCCAATCATTCAATTCCTACCTCACCACACTCTCTGCTCATGATAATTCCCTTTGGAATATCACCAGAAAAATCCTCAAATCCCATCATATTTCCCACCCTCTTCGACGAGATGATGGCTCCTGGGCAGCATCTGATGAAGATAAAGCCGAGGAATTTGCCAAACACCTTTCCTATACTTTCGCTCCTCATCCAGAATCCCATCCCAGCCACACAGTAAAAGTAGAAGAATCCCTCTCAATACCTATCCCACTCTCCTTACCACCTAAAGCTGTTAATCCCTCTGAGGTCAAATACCTTTTACGGAAAATCACACCTCGCAAATCTCCTGGATATGACCTTCTAACCCCACAGATCCTTCGACAACTTCCATCTAAAGCCATCACATTTCTTACATATATATACAATTGCATCCTACGAACGACCCACTTCCCTCTTTTATGGAAACATTCCACCATCGTCCTCTTCTTGAAACCAGGCAAACCTTCCAACAATACAGCATCCTATAGACCAATTAGCCTACTCCCAATCCTCTCAAAAATTTTTGAAAAGATCCTACTGAAACGAATCCTACCTATAATTGAATCCTATAACCTTCCTACTCATCAATTCGGATTTCGTTCCCAACATTCCACTGTCCAGCAAGGACTCCGAGTTGTTGACCATATATCCTCAACCCTAGAAAGCAAGCAGTATTGCTCGGGTGCATTTCTGGACATAGCGCAAGCTTTTGACCGGGTATGGCACGCCGGATTACTCTTCAAGCTTAAAATCCATCTACCACAGTCCTTATACCTAGTACTCCGATCCTATCTTTCCGACCGCTCCTTCCGAGTTCGCTGTGGCACCGAATTCTCCGACTGTTACTCAATTGAGGCTGGCGTTCCTCAAGGCAGCGTCTTGGGCCACATCCTTTACATTCTCTTTACCGCTGATATTCCTGTCCATCCCGATACCCTCCTGGCAACTTTCGCTGATGACACTGCTATCCTTTCTTCCAACTCAGATCCTGAAACAGCGTCCGCAAACTTACAAAGGCACCTCTTCCTGATTGAACACTGGTGTAAGAAATGGCGCATTAAGGTAAACGAATCTAAATGTAAACACATTACCTTCACCCTTCGGCGTAATACCTGCCCACCAGTTTATTTTAACTCCATTCAGCTTCCTTTCTCAGATACAGTCCGGTATCTTGGCTTTCTCTTAGACAGACGACTAACATGGAATCCACATACTCGACTTAAAAGACAGGAACTTAACAGACGATATGGCCAGCTATATAGACTACTGAATAGAAAATCTAAACTTTCTGGTGAAAACAAATTACTGATCTACAAGACAATACTGAAACCCATCTGGACTT